GATCTCGGCTCACCGCAACCTCCCCCTCCTGGGTTCAGGCAATTCTCCTGCCTCAGCCTCCCGAGTAGCTGGGATTATAGGCACGCGCCACCATGCCCAGTTATTTTTTGTATTTTTAGTAGAGACGGGGTTTCACCATGTTGACCAGGATGGTCTCGATCTCTTGACCTCATGATCCACCTGCCTTGGCCTCCCAAAGTGCTGGGATTACAGGCATGAGCCACCGTGCCCGGCCTCTCTTTCGTTTTTTATTTTTTTTATTATTATTTTTTTTTTACATTGGCTTTTTTATTTTTATTTTTTTTTGAGACAGAGTCTTGATTGTCACCAGGCTGGAGTACAGTGGCCCAATCTCAGCTCACTGTAAACTTCACCTCCTGTGTTCAAGCGATTCCCCTGCCTCCACCTCCCAAGTAGCTGGGACTACAGGCACTCGCCACTGTGCCCGGCTAATTTTTTGTATTTAAGTAGAGAGGGGGTTTCACCATGTTGGCCAGGATGGTCTTGATCTCCTGACCTCGTGATCTGCCTGCCTCGGCCTCCCAAAGTGTTGGGATTACAGGGGTGAGCCACCGTGCCCGGCCCACACTGGCTTTTAAAATACTGTGAGTGTGTAGTGATGAAGAATACAATAGCCGGGCGCGGTGGCTCAAGCCTGTAATCCCAGCACTTTGGGAGGCCGAGGCGGGTGGATCACAAGGTCGAGAGATCGAGACCAACCTGGTCAACATGGTGAAACCCCGTCTCTACTAAAAATACAAAAAATTAGCTGGGCATGGTGGTGCGTGCCTGTAATCCCAGCTACTCAGGAGGCTGAGGCAGGAGAATTGCCTGAACCCAGGAGGCGGAGGTTGCGGTGAGCCGAGATCGCGCCATTGCACTCCAGCCTGGGTGACAAGAGCGAAACTCCGTCTCAAAAAAAAAAAAAAAAAAAGAATACAATAATACTAGTGCAATTTGATGCCACTGCCTTGAGCCATTTTATCTACCTGTATTAACAAGAATACAAACATATATATTATACAAAATATATATGTACAATGTATATAAACATATTGTATAATATATAATTTATATTGTATTATATATAATGTATATATACATTGTACATATATGTTGTACATATATGTACATAATTATACTGTTCTTATATGTTTTAATATAATATATAATTATATATAATATACATTATAATATATAATGTAATATATATATTATACATATAATACCATATAAACATACAATAAGAACATAAACCATATAATTCCATTTAAGTTCAAAATGATATTGAATAAGGATATATCTCACTATTCTTTTTTTTTTTTTTTTTTGAGACGGAGTTTTGCTCTTGTTACCCAGGCTGGAGTGCAATGGTGCGATCTCGGCTCACCACAACCTCCGCCTCCTGGGTTCAGGCAATTCTCCTGCCTCAGCCTCCTGAGTAGCTGGGATTACAGGCACACGCCACCATGCCCAGCTGATTTTTTGTATTTTTAGTAGAGACGGGGTTTCACCATGTCGACCAGGATGGTCTCGAACTCTCGACCTCGTGATCCACCCGCCTTGGCCTCCCAAAGTGCTGGGATTACAGGCTTGAGCCACCACGCCCGGCCTGATAATAGATATTTTATTTATTTATTTATTTATTTATTTATTTATTTTTTTTTTTTTTGAGACGGAGTTTCGCCCTTGTTACCCAGGCTGGAGTGCAATGGCGCGATCTCGGCTCACCGCAACCTCCGCCTCCTGGGCTCAGGCAATTCTCCTGCCTCAGCCTCCTGAGTAGCTGGGATTACAGGCACGCGCCACCATGCCCAGCTAATTTTTTGCACTTTTAGTAGAGACGGGGTTTCACCATGTTGACCAGGATGGTCTCGATCTCTCGACCTCGTGATCCACCCGCCTCGGCCTCCCAAAGTGCTGGGATTACAGGCTTGAGCCACCGCGCCCGGCAATAATAGATATTTTAAATGGGAGAGATGGAGTTGTAATTGGAGAAGAGCGCATGAGTGGGCTTTTAGGACTCTGGAAGTGTTATTTCTTGATCTGGGGTAAAGGTGAAAATAAAAACAAAAACAAGAAACCCCATAGTGTTCCTCTGAGTGGATATTCTCTTGCTTTTGCTTATCCTGTGTTGCTATCATAAAAAGGATAAGCTTTTTAAAAATGGCAATATATTGATTTTCACCATTTTTTCTTTGTTTTTATTTATTTATTTAATTTATTTTTTCTGAGAGAGAGTCTTGCTGTGTTGCTCAGGCTGGAGTGCAGTGACACGATCTCAACTCACTGCAACCTCTGCCACCTGGGTTCAAGCGATTCTCCTGCCTCAGCCTCCCCAGTAGCTGGGATTACAGGCGCCTGCCACCACACCCAGCTAATTTTTGTATTTTAGTAGAATGCGTTTTCACCATGATAGCCAGGCTGGTCACAAACTCCTGAACTCAGTGATCTGCCCACCTCAGCTTCCCAAAGTTCTGAGATTACAGGCGTGAGCGACTGTGCCCAGCCTGTTTTTAAATTATAAAAGTAATACATGCATTAGACTGATTTTTATAATAATAATATTTATTCTTACAGCTTGATTAGAAATCATACTTTTTTCTGATCAAGCAGTAACACCTGAAAGACTCAATTGTTAGTCTTTCACCAAATGCCAAAAATCTGGTAAATTCCCTTTCAAAGAAACACTTGCCTAACTTTTAAAATTCAATAGTATTAGATAAATTACCACTGGAAAGACTATTTTTCAAAAACGTTCTGTGCGAAAGAGACCGTGGTAAATTAGAGTTACTGTAAGAATTAAACAAAATAATGTACAGAAAATAAGTGCTCAATGAATTCTGTTAAGTCAAAATCTGCCATGATTGGAAGCAGCCTTCTTGAAAATTAAAGTTAGTGGGCCAGGCGCTGTGGCTTGCGCCTGTAATCCCAGCACTTTGGGACGCTGAGGTGGGTGGATCACTAGGTCAGGAGTTCAAGACCAGCCTGGCCAATATGGTAAAACCCCGTCTCTACTAAAAATACAAAAAGTAGGCAGGCGTGGTGGCACGTACTTGTAGTCCCAGCTGCTCAGGAGGCTGAGGCAGAAGAAGGCAGAGGTTGCAGTGAGCTGAGATCGTGCCACTGCACTCCAGCCTGGGTGACAGAGCAAGACTCCATCTCAAAGAAAACAAAACAAAACAAAACAAAACAAAACAAAACACAAAAGAAAAAGAAAAGAAAGGTTAGTTTATATGTATTCAACTATGCTAAGTCCCATCTCTCCAGAGTTTTATATTGATGATTGATTAGCAACTTTCTCAAAGATCTCTTTACCACACCTGAGTAAAAATAAAAAATAAAAAAAAACCTAAGGAGAAAAAAAGATAATACCATTTACATTAGACTGATTTTTGACGTGAGTCTGCTTTAGTACCTAATATGCTATGTCCATTTAAAATTCTTTTTACATGGTCTGAAATTTTGTTTTCTTAGCAGGTTTCAACTTCTCTTAATCTACCTCCCCCCAAATTTTAAAATATTTTCTTGTTGTTATTTTTATTTTTAGCCCTCTCTCTTACCCATATTATTCTCCACCCTTTTTCAGTATGGTTTCTGTTCTGGATTCAACGGGAATGTAGATTTCCTTCAACCACTTCATACCCGTTTCTTAGTTGAGACAGATTGCCAGAGTCCAGTGTCATCTTACAGATTCTGTTGGTGTCAAAGGATGTTGCTTCTTTATATTGTGCTAAGAAAGCCCTTGTTTTGTATGGCTGTCTGTGACACGTTTCTGGATGACAGCAGCAATAATGCCTTCTACTTTCTAGGCAGAAGAGAGGCAAAGAGAGGAGCAGCTGGTCTCATTTGACAGGTAATGGAATTATTCATACAACCTGCTGGATAATTGAGATGGGAATTTATCTCATTAATACTTCTTTTAATTTTAAAAATTAATGAAAAAAATGGAGGGCAAAATAAAGGGGGACCTGGGGGGGATAACATAATCCACGGAATAAAATTAAAAAGTCAAAACCATGGGCTTTTCCAAGATCTTTGAGTTATAGAAGGAATAATTTCAAGATGAATAAAAAATTCAAAGAAACCATTGATGTCTATGTGTTAAGTAGAGAGCTTGACTCCCTAGGAATAAGTATGAACCCACACATCTACAGATTAGGAGGTCTAAGTCATCTTACCTCTAATTCAGATTAAAGCCCTTCAGAGTTCTTGGGTCTCTGTTTACTCATCTATAAAATGGAAGCAACCCAGCTTTCTAGGAGTATTGAGAGGAAAAGCAGACAATTTGTATCTGAATGATGTTTCTTTTCTTTTCTTTTCTTTTCTTTTTTTTTTTGGAGATGGAGTCTCACTGTTGCCCAGCCGAGAGTGCAGTGGCGTGATTTCAGCTCACTGCAACCTCCACCTCCCAGGTTCAAGTGATTCTCCTGCCTCAGCCTTCCGAGTAGCTAGGACTATGGGTGCCCACCATCATGCCCGGCTAATTTTTTATATTTTTTTTTAGTAGAGGTGGGGTTTCACCATGTTTGCCAAGATGGTCTTGATCTCCTGACCTTGTGATCTGCCCACTTCAGTCTCCCAAAGTGCTGGAATTACAGGCGTGAGCCACAATGCCCAGCTCTGAATGATGTTCTTAACATTTCCAAACTAGTCCCATAGAGGTTTATTGCTGGTATTAGTTCAGAACTTGATGTGTTTTAGCATAGATACACATCCATCCCTTCCCACTATACTATGAGCACCTCAAAGGCCTAGGGACTCTGTCTTAGTTTTGTATCTCTGGCATGTAGAGGACATTCTTTAAACATTGTAGAAGTGAAGTTATGATACTGTTGGGAAAACAATAATGGAATTTCTTTTCTTTTTTTTTTTTTTTTGAGATGGAGTCTCACTCTGTTGCCCAGGTTGGAGTGCAGTGGCATGATCTCGGCTTACTACAACCTCTGCCTCCCAAGTTCAAGTGATTCTCCTGTCTCAGCCTCCTGAGTAGCTGGGACTATAGGCATACACCACCACACCTGGCTAATTTTTGTATGTTTAGTAGAGACAGGGTTTTACTATATTGGTCAGGCTGGTCTTGAGCTCTTGACCTCATGATCCGCCTGTCCCAGCCTACCAAATTGCTGAGATTAAAGGCGTGAGCCACCATGCCCAGCCAATAATGGAATTTTAAAGTGTTTTATATCTAGTATAATAAGCAATATGTCTTCCTTTTAAATGCTTGAAAAAAAAGAGGCAGTGGGGCATGGTGACTCAAGCCTGTAATGCCAGTGCTGTGGGGGACTGAGGTGGGTGGATCACCTGAGATCAGGAGTTGGAGACCAGCCTGGCCAAGATGGTGAAAATCCATCTCTACCAAAAATACAAAAATTAGCTGGGCCTAGAGGCAGGACCCTATAATCCCGGCTACTCGAGAGGCTGAGGCAGAGGAATCACTTGAACCTGGTGGGTGGAGGTTGTAGTTAGCTGAGGTTGTACCACTTCACTCAGCCTGGATGAGAGTGAAACTCTGTCTCCAAAAAAAAAAAAAAAAAAAAGGCCGGGCACAGTGGCTCATGCCTGTAATCCCAGCACTTTGGGAGGCAGAGGCGGGCAGATCACGAGGAATCAGAATTTCAAGACCAGCCTAACCAATATGGTGAAATCCCATCTCTACTAAAATACAAAAATTAGCCGAGCATGGTGGTGCATACCTGTAATCCCAGCTACTCAGGGGGCTGAGGCAAGAGAATCGCTTGAACCCAGGAGGTGGAGGCTGCAGTGAGCCAAGATCGCACCACTGCACTCCAGCACTCCAGCACTCCAGCCTGAGTGACAGAGCGAGACTGTCTCAAAAAAAAAAAAGGGGCCGGGTGCGGTGGCTCAAGCCTGTAATCCCAGCTCTTTGGGAGGCTGAGGCGGGTGGATCACGTGGTCAAGAGATCGAGACCATCCTGGTCAACATGGTGAAACCCCGTCTCTACTAAAAATACAAAAAATTAGCTGGGCATGGTAGCGCGTGCCTGTAATCCCAGCTACTCAGGAGGCTGAGGCAGGAGAATTGCCTGAACCCAGGAGGCGGAGGTTTCGGTGAGCCGAGATGGCGCCATTGCACTCCAGCCTGGGTAACAAGAGCGAAACTCCGTCTCAAAAAAAAAAGGAAAAGCAGCAAGTAGCCAGGCATGGTGGCTCAAGCCACTCACAGCACTTTGGTAGTTTGAGGCAGGATAATTGCTTGAGGCCAGGAGTTTGAGACCAGCCTGGGCAACAAAGCAAGACCCTATCTATACAAAAAAATAAAAAGAAAGAAGAAGGCTGGGCGCGGTGGCTCAAGCCTGTAATCCCAGCACTTTGGGAGGCCGAGGCGGGTGGATCACGAGGTCGAGAGATCGAGACCATCCTGGTCGACATGGTGAAACCCCGTCTCTAATAAAAATACAAAAAATTAGCTGGGCATGGTAGCGCGTGCCTGTAATCCCAGCTACTCAGGAGGCTGAGGCAGGAGAATTGCTTGAACCCAGGAGGCGGAGGTTGCAGTGAGCCGAGATCGTGCCATTGCACTCCAGCCTGGGTAACAAGAGTGAAACTCCGTCTCAAAAAAAAAAAAAAAAAAGAAAGAAAGAAGAAAAGAGTTAACAACATTTCATTAGCTTTCTGTTAAGAGAGTTTTTTATGGTTTTTTGTTTTGTTTTGTTTTTTAAGATGGGGTTTCACCATGATGACCAGGCTGGTCTTGAACTCCTGACCTCAGGTGATCCACCCACCTCAGCCTTTCAAAGTGTTAGGATTACAGGCGTGAGCCACTGCGTGCGACTAGGTTGTTTGTTTTTTGTTTTTTAATAGAGATGAGGGTGTTGCTGTGTTAGTGTTAGCCAGGTTAGTCTTGAACTCCTGGCCTCAATTCTCCTGTCTTAGCCTCCCAAAGTGCTAGGATTACAGGTGTGAGCCACCGGGCCTGGCCTGTTAAGAGGTATTTAACCCAAAGCATAACCTCAAGGAAATTTCTGAAAACCAGAAGATGTGATTCTGTTGAACCAATTGGCAAGGCCCTGATAGGTCACTTAGCTTGCTCTTCTCCACCCACTTAGTACTGAAGGTACCAATGCAATTTGGATTTTGAGAGTGCCCTGGAAGGTGATAGGTCAGTATAATTCATTGAGTTCAAATCTCTGGCTACTTTCCTTGTCTGGCAAACCCCAGTGAGATTACAGAGTATACCCCTAAATAGAAACAGCCAGGAGTCCCATCCCTCATAATTCTGCTGCATGTCCACTTTGCCCATGGAAGCTGAGTCTTTGTTTTCCTGGTATCATCAGCTCTTTGCTTCTGGATATGAAGAATGTGGCCCTCCAGGGCTTTGTATTGATAGCAGAGGAGTGTAACCCTGGTAATGTCTTTGCATAGGTTATGTTGGCAGTAGAGATGTTGGAGATATGTCTTGTTATGCTTTAGAGAGGAGAAATCACCTAAAGTGCTTATCTCCCTGCAGCCATGAGGAGTGGAACCAGATGCAGAGCCAGGAGGATGAAGTGGCCATCACTGAGCAGGATTTGGAACTTATTAAAGAAAGAGAAACAGCAATTCGGCAGCTGGAGGTGAGAACCAGGTCATTTTTTTGTTTGACTCAGTATGTCTGCAGGTATCTGGACTCTTTAGTTCACCTTAATTCTCTCAATGATTATGAAAAATCGTAAAATGTGTCATTGTGTCATTTGTATTTTTTTCTGTCTCAGTGTAATCATGGTGGATTTGAACTGCTTCATTTGTTTTTTTGTTTTGTTTTGTTTTTGTTTTTGAGATGGAGTTTCACTCTTGTTGCCCAGGCTGGAGTGCAATGGCACAATCTCAGCTTACTGCAACCTCTGCTTCCTGGGTTCAAGTGATTCTGCTGCCTCAGCCCCCGAGTAGCTGGGATTACAGGCATGTGCCACCACACCCAGCTAATTTTTGTATTTTTAGTAGAGACAGGGTTTTGCCCTGTTGGCCAGACTGTTCTTGAACTTCTGACTGCAAGTGATCTGCCTGCTTCAGCCTCCCAAAGTGCTGGGATTACTGTCATGAATCACTGTGCCTAGCTAAAATATCCTTAAACCTGAGTTTTCTCCGGCTTAGCTTTCTTCAAAGGTAGAGGGCTGCCATCACTGGGATGTGGGGAGGAAAAAAGGCGGGAGAGAAATTTTGAGCTCCTCCTTGGCCTCCATCTGCAGCAGTGGTACAGAACCCTGACTGCACATGAGGATCACCTGGAGAAGATTTTTTTTTTTTAAATGCACCGGCTTTGATCCACCAGTAATTATTTGATGGGATAATATGAAATTCCCACTTACTATATGTTAAAAACAGGCAAATATCTCTTAATTTTATATGGTTCAAAGTAATAATTTCTGATGAGGCCCTGGGCACAGGAAGTTTTTTTTTTTTTTTTTGAGACGGAGTTTTGCTCTTGTTACCCAGGCTGGAGTGCAATGGCGCGATCTCAGCTCACCGCAGCCTCCACCTCTTGGGTTCAGGCAATTCTCCTGCCTCAGCCTCCTGAGTAGCTGGGATTACAGGCACGCGCCGGCATGGCCAGTAATTTTTTGTATTTTTAGTAGAGATGGGGTTTCACCATGTTGACCAGGATGGTCTCGATCTCTTGACCGTGTGATCCACCCGCCTTGGCCTCCCAAAGTGCTGGGATTACAGGCTTGAGCCACCGGGCCCGGCCCATAGGTACTTTTTTTGAAAGTTTCCCAGGTGATTATAATGTACAGTCAGGATTGAGACCCACCCACTGCCCTAGAGGCCATTACTGTCTATATTTATTTATTTATTATTTATTTGTTGAGACAGCATCTCACTCCGTTGCTCAGGCTGGAGTGCAGCAGCACATTCTTGGCTCACTGCAACCTCTCTCTCCTGGATTCAAGCAATTCTCCTGCCTCAGCCTCCCAAGTAGCTGGGATTATAGGTGCCTGCCACCACACCTGGCTAATTTTTGTATTTTTAGTAGAGACAGGGTTTCACCATGTTGGCCAGGCTGATCGTGTCTGTTTTTAGATGGGATAGTTTATCCTTAAGTTATGATTACTTTATTGCCTTTAAAAATGTCACGTCTTGCCGGGTGCGGTGGCTCAAGCCTGTAATCCCAGCACTTTGGGAGGCCGAGGCGGGTGGATCACGAGTTCAAGAGATCGAGACCATCCTGGTCAACATGGTGAAACCCCGTCTCTACTAAAAATACAAAAAATTAGCTGGGCATGGTGGCACGTGCCTGTAATCCCAGCTACTCAGGAGGCTGAGGCAGGAGAATTGTTTGAACCCAGGAGGCAGAGGTTGCGGTGAGCTGAGATCACGCCATTGCACTCCAGCCTGGGTAACAAGAGCGAAACTCCGTCTCAAAAAAAAAAAAAAAATGTCATGTCTTTATTCTTTTTCACCTAACTGAATTAATTGTCTAACATTAGAAATATGGCTTAGTAGCCGGGCGCGGTGGCTCAAGCCTGTAATCCCAGCACTTTGGGAGGCTGAGGCGGGTGGATCACGAGGTCGAGAGATCGAGACCATCCTGGTCAACATGGTGAAACCCCGTCTCTACTAAAGATACAAAAAATTAGCTGGGCATGGTGGCACGAGCCTGTAATCCCAGCTACTCAGGAGGCTGAGGCAGGAGAATTGCCTGAGCCCAGGAGGCGGAGGTTGCGGTGAGCCGAGATCGCGCCATTGCACTCCAGCCTGGGTAACAAGAGTGAAACTCTGTCTCAAAAAAAAAAAAAAAAAAAATATGGCTTAGTACAATGGCTCACACCTGTAATCCCAGCACTTTGGAGGCTGAGGTGGGAGGATTGCTTGAGCTCGGGAATTCAAGACCAGCCTGAGCAATATAGCAAGACCTTATCTCTACAAAGAATAAAAAATTAGCCAGGTGTTGTAACATGCACCTGTGGTCCCAGCTACTCAGGAGGCTGAAGTCAGAGGATCACTTGAGCCCAGGAGATCGAGGCTGTAGTGAACCATGATCGTATCACTGCAGTCCAGCCTGGGCGACAAAGTAAGACTCTGTTTGAAATAATAATAATAATCTTTCCTTTAAAAAAAAATTACAGTTGACTTTCCATATATGCAGGCTTTACATCCTCAGACTCAAGCAACTGTGGATTGAAAATATTCAGAAAAAAAAATAAAAGTAACAATACAACATTAAAAAAATACAAATGTAAAAAGCAATACAAAGCCAGGCACAGTGGCTCACACCTGTAACCCTAGCACTTTGGGAGGCTAAGGTGGGTGGATCACCTGAGGTCAGGAGTTCAAGACCAGCCTGGCCATCATGGTGAAACCCCATCTTTTTTAAAAAAAAAAAAAAACAAAAACCAATACAATGTAACAATATTTTACATAACACATTGTATTAGTTCAATACATCAACACATTACTAATACAATGTAAGTGCTATGTAAAATAGTAATGTAACATTATATAAATAATGTAGAGATGATTTAAAATATAGGTGAGAATGTGCATCAGTTATATGCAAATACTATGCCATTTTATATCAGGGGCTTAGGGAGAGAGTCCTGGGACCAATCCCCTGCAGATACTAAGGGATGAATACTGTTAATAGCAGGGAGTAGGGTGAGCCATATGGAGCTAAGGAAAGAAATGTAATGGATGCCAGGAGTACAATGGATCATTTCACATTCAACAGAGGAAAGTCCAAATTCCTTAGCCAGGTTCAATTTTCATATCTAGGCATTTCCAAACTCTTGACATGCAAATTCTATGCATGGCAAAGCTAGGTTATTTGCTCTTTAACTGAGTTGGCTTTCTGTTTATATGACTTCTCCTTTGCTTTAAGGCACAACTCTTGTCCTACCTCTTCTGCAAAGTCTTCCTCTTTCTTTTTTTTTTTTGAGAAGGAGTCTTGCTCTGTCTTCAGACACCAGGCTGGAGTGCAGTGGCTCGATCTCGGCTCACTGCAACCTCTGCCTCCCAGGTTCAAGCAATTCTCCTGCCTCAGCCTCTTGAGTAGCTGGGACTACAGGTGTGTGCCACCACAGCCAGCTAATTTTTGTATTTCTTAGTAAAGACGGTGTTTCACCATGTTGGCCAGGATGGTTTCCATCTCTTGACCTCATGATCTGCCCGTCTCAGCATCCCAAAGTGCTGGGATTACAGGCATGCCGCCACTGCTCCCAGCCTTCTCCGAACCTTTCTATACCATTAATTCAGTCATTTCCTATACAGCACTCTTTCTTCTTATTTGTTTTATTGTGCACTTATTCTCCACCCCACCCCAGTTAGCTGTATTCACAGCAACTAGCAGACTGCCCCAACTATGGTAGACTCTTAGCAAGTGATTGAAATGCTGACAAGACTTATTTTAGCAGATAGTCTACTATAGCAGACTCTTAGCAAGTGATTGAAATGTTTGCCAAGTTTTGATTCCAGTTTCCCTTCAAACCTGGGAGTTCCCATCAAATTTCCGTAGGGTCATTCCCCATATTAGCATCCTAAGACAGGTTTCCATTGTCCTCCTTCTGCCTGATCATGAGTCAGAAAAACCCAAATATAGATTGGACATGGTGGCTCACACCTGTAATCCCAGCACTTTGGGAGGCCAAGGCAGGTGGATCACTTGAGGTCAGGAGTTCAAAACCAGCCTGGCCAATGTGGTGAAACTCTACTAAAAAAAAACAAAAATTAGGGCTGGGCACAGTGGCTCATGCCTGTAATCCCAGCACTTGGTGGGAGGCCAAAGCAAGTGGATCATCTGAGGTCAGGAGTTCGAGACTAGCCTGACAAACATGGTGAAACCCCGTCTCTATTAAAAATACAAAAATTAGCTGGGCATGGTGGCACATGCCTGTAATCCCAGGTACCTGGGAGACTGAGGCAAGAGAATTGCTTGAACCTGGGAGGCAGAGGTTGCAGTGAGCCGAAATTGTGCCATTGTACTACAGCCTAGGCAACAAGAGCGAAACTCCGTCAAAGAAAAAAAAAAGTAGCCAGGCGTGGTGGCCAACACCTGTAATCTCAGCTACTGGGAAGGCTGAGGCAGGAGAATCACTTGAACTTGGGGGATGGAGGTTTGCAGTCAGCTGAGATTGTGTCACTGCACTCCAGCCTGGATGACAGAGCAAGACTCTGTCTCAAAAAAATTAAAAAGAAAAAAAGAATAGAACAGAAAGAAAAGAAAGAAGGAATGGAAGGGAGGGAGGGAAAAGAGGAGAAAGAAAGAAGGACGGGGAAGGGAGGGAAAGAAAGGGAAAGGAAAAGAAAGGAAACGGGAGAGAGAAAGAGGCCGGGCACAGTGGTTCACGCCTATAATCCTAGCACTTTGGGAGGCCCAGGCGGGTGGATCACAAGGTCAGGAGTTCGAGACCAGCCTGGCCAACATGGTGAATCCCCATCTCTACTACAGATACAAAAATTAGCTGGGTGGCCAGGTGTAGTGGTTCACTCCTATAATCCCAGCACTTTAGGAGGCCAAGGTGGGTAAATCAAGAGGTCAAGAGATCGAGACCATTCCTGGCCAACATGGTGAAACCCCGTCTCTACTAAAATTACAAAAATTAGCTGGGCTTGGTGGCATGTGCCTGTAATCCCAGCTACTCGGGAGGCTGAGGCAGGAGAATCGCTTGAACCCAGGAGGTGGAGGTTGCCGTGAGCCGAGATTGCACCACTGCAGTCCAGCCTGGTGACAGAGTGAGACTCTGTTTAAAAAATTAGCTGGTGTGGTGGGCATGCCTGTAATCCCAGCTATTCAGGAGGCTGAGTCAGGTGAATTGTTTGAATCCAGGAGGCAGAGGTTGCAGTGAGACGAGATTGTGCCACTGTACTCCAGCCTGGGCAACAGAGCAAGACTCTGTCTCAAAAAAAAAAAAAAAAAAAAAAAAAAAAAAAAAAAGGAGAGAAAGAGGGAGAGAGGGAAAGGAAAGAAAGAAAAAGAGGAGAGAGAAGGGAGGGAGGGAGGGAAAGACCCAAATATAGGGGATTTTGCCAATGTTCAGTTCTTCCACTGCTGTTAGGAAAACACGCTGCAGTTCAGCCCACCAAGCTGATTTGTTTTTACCTTCTTTGATCAGAGCAGCAAACAGGATGTAGTCCATTCTCCTTGGAACTCCTATCCACAAACCATCAGCTTTTTGTCCATCAATTGGGAGTTACTATAGGGCATTATCCAGTGATGATAGAATCCAGCAATTCCTCACATAGTTCCAGAGTCAATCCCAGGGGAAAAGAGGCTCCTTATTTGTAGCTCCTCCTTGCATTCCTCAGATAGCATGATCTTGTATAAACATTTAAACTCTGTAGTCCACAGTCCCAGTGGTTGTCGTAGAGAGGCACTCACAGACCTTTGTCACAAAAGGCCTAGCAGCCTCTACATAGGGGTATCACACCAGGAATTTGTCTATATTAGTACTCTAGCCTTCTGCTGTACTGTTTGACTTGGGGAATCTTACTGGTTCCCATGTAGCATGTCCAATTAAAGTTACTTGAAGGGTGAGGTTATGTGCCTTCTGTTTTACAGTATTGGGTAGGCAGCAATAGATTATTTTCTGTTTATGGAGAAAGCTTGCTTTATATAGCCTTAAAAACACATGTGTTAATAGCTAAACTTTAGGTACGTGAAGGAAACAAATCTTCTAACATGTTGCTTAATGTTAATTGTTTTTTTTTGTCTTCCTTAGGCTGACATTTTGGATGTCAATCAGATATTTAAAGATTTGGCCATGATGATCCATGACCAAGGTGATCTGATTGGTATGTATTATTGATACCTTTAACCTTAAGGTGAGTCGATAGTATTTGGCATGCACCTGTAATCCCAGCTACGCAGGAGGCAGAGGCTCAAGCGTCAACTGGGAGTTCGAGGCCAATGTGGGCAACACAATGAGAATCTGTCTATTAAAAAAAAGCAAGAAAAGGAGTTAGTCATATCAGCTATAGAATTAAAGTAAGTTTAGGAATGCCATTTTAAAAATTACCAAATTTATTTTTCTTAGCAATTTTCTTATGTTATCAAATGTAGAAATTAAAGTGAGGCCTTGTGAATATTCAGTCCCATTGACTTGTTTCTTTGTAAGTCTTTGTTTAGAGAAATAACCGTCAGCTTCCTGGCTTTTATCTCTACAAACTTGCAAAATTATGGGGTTAGTAACTCTTTTTCTAAAGCTTTTTAAAAAGCTTTCTACATGGAAATAATTTCAAGTTTATTAAAAGTTGCAAAAAAAGGCTGGGCATGGTCACTCACACCTGTAATCCCAGCACCGTGGGAGGCTAAGGCGGGAGGATCACTTAAAGCCAGGAGTTCAAGACTAGCCTGAGCAATATAGTGAGACCCTCTCCTTATAAAAAAATTAGCCAGCCATAGTAACATTCACCTGTACTCCTAGCTACTCAGGAGGCTGAGGTGGGAAGATCACTTGAGTCCAGGAGTTTGAAGCTATATAGTGAGCTATGATTGTGCCACTGCACTGTAGCCTAGGTGATAGAGTGAGATCCTAGCTCTTAAAAAAAAAAAAAAGTAGAGGCCGGGCGCGGTGGCTCAAGCCTGTAATCCCAGCACTTTGGGAGGCCGAGGTGGGTGGATCACGAGGTCGAGAGATCGAGACCATCCTGGTCAACATGGTGAAACCCCGTCTCTATTAAAAATACAAAAAAAAATTAGCTGGGCATGGTGGCACGTGCCTGTAATCCCAGCTACTCTGGAGGCTGAGGCAGGAGAATTGCTTGAACCCAGGAGGCGGAGGTTGTGGTGAGCCGAGATCGCGCCATTGCACTCCAGCCTGGGTAACAAGAGCGAAACTCCGTCTCAAAAAAAAAAAAAGTAGCAAAAATAAAAATAAAATAAAAATATTACAAGGACCTTCTTTATACCCTTTACCCAGATTTACCTCTTGTTAGCATTCTACCCCATTTGCTTTATTATGTATTCTTTCTCTGTCTATGTGTATATACATAATTTTTTTCTGAATCATTTATGGGTGAGTTAAATACTTCCTAGCCCCCCAAAATTTGGTGTTTTTTTCCCAAAGAATAGGGCTAGTCTCTTATCAAGGTAGTAACTTGATTTCATGGTGGATAGTTTGGTTGGTGGTAGTGAAACCAGACCCGTAACATCAGAAATCTGTTCAGTTTGCAGTCTTGAAACATCTGAATGTGTTAAAACATCCTCTGTCCTTCCTTTTGCAGATAGCATAGAAGCCAATGTGGAAAGCTCAGAGGTACACGTTGAAAGAGCCACTGAACAGTTACAGCGAGCTGCTTATTATCAGGTAAAAGTGGGTACCAAAGAAAGTCATTCTGTGTTTTAGATTTTTTAGGTTATCAGAGTACGTTGGCATTATTGAGAACAGCTACAGGCTTTTGCTTACATTTACCCAAAGGAAAGTAGTCATAATTGCAGTCCCAGTTCCATTTTTAGTATTTTTCTTTGCAGGTAGATCTACAAAAAATAATCAAACCTTGAATAAACTTACCAGAAGCCTCTTAGCTGCAAAGCTAATCCTATAAACTAGCATGAGGCCAGGTGTGGTGGCCAACGCCTGTATCCCAGCACTTTGGGAGACCAAGGCAGGCAAATCATGAGGTCAAGAGTTCAAGACCACCCTGACCAACATGGCAAAACCCCATCTCTACTAAAAATACAAAAAATTAGCTGGGCGTGGAGGCACACTCCTGTAGTCCCAGCTACTTGGGAGGCTGAGGCAGGATAATTTCTTGAACCCAGGAGGTGGAGGTTGCAGTAAGCCAGGATCCCGACATTGCACTCCAGCCTGGGCAACAGAGCAAGACTCTGTCTCAAAAATTTTTTAAAAAATAAACCAGCATGATACCTAAATACAGCATAAGTCTGTTTTATATCCTGAACAGCTGAATGTGTTTCAGTTAGGATAGTAAGAAGTACAGTTAAAGTAGAAGACTTCATAGATATAAATGTTGACTGTTGCCATAGAGGATGGACATAGAATCAACTTTGCTATTTATATATGAATAAATAGGAGTAATTATTCTGGAACTATTCCTGTGATGTGAAATCCTTCTACATATTAGTTGAAACTCTGGTTTTTTTTGACTTACCTAGATCTTTATCTCAGAGTACAAATAATGTAAATGGAGTCCTTCTCATCTCCCTTCAATTTGGTATTGCATGGCTTTTTAGAAGTAAATCGCTTTTCAGCTATTTTCCATGTTCCTGGGATAGCTGTATTTTACCTGAGAGTGCTCATAAAGAAATCTGTATTTAATAATAGTGTTTCCTTTAAAAACTTTGTGATGAATTTAGTGTCCAAAAGTAAAGGAATAATTAGGTAAATTATATACATTCTTGCAATGTTGTATATGGGAATTAAGAGATGTTTATGAAGAGTTTATAACAGAAAAATGTTTATACTAAACATTAATTGAGGAAAAACATCAAACATCATACAGTGTGATCCCAATTATGTCAAATAATACACATAAATAACAAATCAGAAAGAAATACAATAAAAATGTTGACAGTTTTATCTATGGGTGATTTTTTTTCTCCCTCTACTTGCTGTATTTATTATATTTTTATTTTTATTTTTCTAAAGACAGGGTTTCACCATATTGGTCAGGCTGGTCTTGAACTCTTGACCTCAGGTGATCCACCTGCCTCAGCCTCCCAAAGTGCTAGGATTACAGGCGTGAGCCACTGCGCCCGGCGTTTTTTTTACAATGAACATGACAGTTTATACATATTATAAAATGTTATTAAAATACATATGCACAGATAACTTATTGCACATAATGCCTGGCAGCACAGTTATAGCTCCTTTGCAAAATTCTATGTGGGGACTTGGAATTAAAACTTTAAAACCTGCACTACTCAACTGGTCATGGTGGTTCACACCTACAATCCCAGCCCTTTGGGAGGCTGTAGGCGTGGATTACCTGAGATCAGGGTTCGAGACCAGCCTGGCCAACATTGACGAAACCCCGTCTCTACTAAAAATACAAAAACCAGCCGGGCATGGTGGCATATGCCTGTAATTCCAGCTCCTCAGGAGGCTGAGACATGAGAATTACTTGAACCTGAGAGACAGAGATTTCAGTGAGCCAAGATTGTACCACAGCACTCCAACCTGGGTGAGTGACTGAGTGAGACTCTATCTCAAAAAAAAAAGAAAGGCCGGGCGCGGTGGCTCAAGCCTGTAATCCCAGCACTTTGGGAGGCCGAGGCGGGTGGATCACGAGGTCGAGAGATCGAGACCATCCTCGTCAACATGGTGAAACCCCGTCTCTACTAAAAATACAGAAAATTAGCTGGGCGTGGTGGAGCGTGCCTGTAATCCCAGCTACTCAGGAGGCTGAGGCAGGAGAATTGCCTGAACCCAGGAGGCGGAGGTTGCGGTGAGCCGAGATCGCGCCATTGCACTCCAGCCTGGGTAACAAGAGCGAAACTCCGTCTCAAAAAACAAACAAAAAAAAAAAAAAAAAAAAAAAGAAAAAACCAAACATATGAAAAACACTTGCGCTACTGCCTAGTGCTGCTGACTGTTAAAATTTCTGGGGAAGTCTCTACATAACTTTGCATTGATAGAGTTAATCTTTAATTACAAGGAGGCAGATTTAGGAAGCATTCTTAAATGCTTAGACATAAAAATTTTACTTGTTTCATGAGTGTCTTGTTTACCTATTTCTTTCCTCAGAAAAAATCTCGCAAGAAGATGTGTATCCTGGTGCTTGTCCTTTCAGTGATTGTTGTAATCTTGGGACTCATTATCTGGCTAGTTTACAAAACGAAGTGATTGCCTCTGATCCTTCTCTCACTGAGCTGTTTTCATGGGCAAGTTGGAGTCTTGCCAGAACAAACTGATCACAAGAAGACAGCATACACCAGAGCGTCCTGTAATAATTTAGTTAGAAACTAACTACTAACTAGTCTTTGGAATTAGTGACCTATGGAGACAGTGTTTATCAATTTATTGATTTTATTTCTCAAATTAGGAATTAACTTATGTGGATTTTGCTTTCTCTTGTATTCTGATTGCCCTTCATCATCCCAAGTGTTTACTGAAAATTCCATTCTAGATACTCTTGTTTTGACAAATGACACTACAGTCTTGTAATATTGTCTTTTATGTATATACAAAATTTACCTTTTGACTAGCAACTGAGATAGAATTACTTTCTGGCACCCAGTATATTGGAGTCTTTCAGAAACTGTATAATAGGCTAGCAGTTTTTATTATTTAACATTTTCGTTTGAATTTCTAAGAAGCCTATTCTCTATCTATTTTGAAAGATTTTGGTACTATATTTAATTTAAAGGTAACAAATAGTACATGTGATCCAGAGTAAATGAGAAGTCTCTATCTGAGCTGGTCAGTTACATGTTACTAATCTGGGTTTAAAGTTTACTTCATTATCTGCTAGTGTCATCCACAGCAGTTCCTCCTCATCCACACTAAGCCATCTTGTTAGCTTTTTAAAGAAGTTAATTTAATTAACATTACTATACTCTATGGGGTCCCTCTCCCACCTGTCTGCATAGAAAGGGAGAATTAGACATAGCATGTTTTTGAAAAGCAAATAGGAATTGTTGGGAATGATTTAATCTTTTCGTTGTTGTTCACTTGTGGTTCTACATTCCTGGTGAATGATGAATGTTGCTGTCAAAGTACTGCCCCCTACCTTATAGGGGTTGCTGGGCATTTGAAGACTGGAAGATTTTTAAAGATAGATTGAGGTTGGTTTAAAATTTAGTCCTGTGAACCAACAATAAAGCAAAGAACAGGTTCATTTTTTGTAAATAATACTGGTTTTGAATAGTGATATTAGACTTAACCTAATTTATAAACAAGAGATTAATCTCTCCATGCATAGTTTTAGGCAAAAAAAAAGTGTTTCAATAAAATTGCTGTCTTGTAATATAAATGTTGTCCACTTCCCTTTTTCACAGGCCTAGAATAGTTAAAGGGAACAATTTGTTTAGGATCCCAGATAAATGTGAATCTGGCCAACAACTTTGGTTCATCCTTTAGTGAATTAGAGGATTTGGTTACCCTGAGTATATTTATATTCATTTCTCCCATTGTCCTTCTGTTATTATTCTAAACTAAACTAATGTGAACAGTAGGGAAACAAGGGCCCAAATGCATAAGTTTCTTTGCACTCTTGCACTTACTTAATACAAATAAATGTTTTCTAAAGCTTTTGTAGTATGTTTTTATGAGTTAACATCCTAATAAGGTAGGTATTAGGTAATATGCTATTATGAGAAAAACTGAGACTTGCAAGAAAACTGGAGACCAGGTGAGGGTTGGTTTGGGGATGGAATAGGTGTTGCAGCCTTTTCTTGAAAAACAGTGTAGAGATTGCTGGGCATGATGGCTCACACTTGTAATCCCAACACTTTGGGAAGCTGAGGTGGGAGGATCAGTATATCAGGATATGCCTGAGCCCAGGAGTTTAAGACCAGACAGGGCAATATAGCAAGAACCTATCTCTATTTTTTTAAATGATTTTTTAATTTAAAAAAAGAACAGGCTGGGCGCGGTGGCTCAAGCTTGTAATCCCAGCACTTTGGGAGGCCGAGGCGGGTGGATCACACGGTCAAGAGATCCAGACCATCCTGGTCAACATGGTGAAACCCCGTCTCTACTAAAAATACAAAAAATTAGCTGGGCATGGTGGCGCGTGCCTTTAATCCCAGCTACTCAGGAGGCTGAGGCAGGAGAATTGCCTGAACCCAGGAGGCGGAGGTTGCAGTGAGCCGAGATCGCGCCATTGCACTCCAGCCTGGGCAACGAGAGCGAAACTCCGTCTAAAAAAAAAAAAAAAAAGAACAAGATAGAGCTGTTGGGGTGGCACAGTGGCCCAAGGAGCAGCTTCAGAGATAGTTCCTTGGTTCTATAATCACTGAACTTTTAACTCCAAATTACAGTTGGACTTGGATACATCATTTGTAACATTCCAGGAAAGAAAAACGTCTTGTTTGTGAAAAACAGTTTGCTACCTGGCTCAGGAGTTTAACTTGCGAGCAAAAAAAAAAAAAAAAAAAAAAAAAAAAAAAAAGAAAAGAAAAACAGTTTGCATTTGGGTAAAAGAAAGTGATCATGTTCTCTAACACTATATGACCCAGTGGTGGTTATAATGGTGATCATGGAGAGCAAATACGAACTTGGCTTAGATTTTAAATGCCCTAGAATTTGTAGTAGTTGCCAAAGAGGTTCTCCTAGGTGGTCCTAATAAACCTATTCACAGAAGTATTATCTGTGCCTTGATTATCATTGGGAGCATCATGATCTAGGACAGCAGTTAGCATGGCTTCACATTAGAAACTAAAAACATACAATGCCCACTTTGGGGGCACATATATAAAATGGGGAAAATACAGAGATTAGCATGGCCCCTGCACCAGGATGACATGCAAATTCTCTCTCTCTCTCTCTCTCTTTCTTTCTCTCTCTCTCTCTTTCTGTCTCTCTCTCTATATATATATATGTATTTTTTTTTTTTTTTTTTTTTTTTTTTAGACAGGGTCTCACACTGTTGCCCAGGCTGGAGTGCAGTGGCGCAGTCTCAGCTCACTGCAACCTTCACCTCCTGGGTTCAAGCGATTCTCATGCCTCAGCCTCCCAAGTAGCTGGATTACAGGTGCTCACCACCACACCCAGATGATTTTGTTGTTGTTGTTGTTGTATTTTTAGTAGAGACCGGGTTTTACCATGTTGGCCAGGCTAGTCTGGAACTCCTGCCCTCAGGTGATCCACCCACCTTGGCCTCCCAAAGTGCTGGGATTATAGGCATAAGCAACTGTGCCTGGCCAAAGTGCTCTGTATTTTAAAAAAATATATTTTCTATGCTACTCTTCTTGCTAAAAAATAAAAAAAATACCAATACCTAGGTCCCCCAACTCCAAGATTTTAATTTAGTCTGGAGTATAGCTTGGGTAGAGATTTTTAAAGGCCCCAGGTAGTTCTTACCTGCAACTGTGGTTGAGAAGCATTGGTTTGGACGTCAAAATCTAGACTGGGGTGCAAAAGACCTTAGCTCTGCCATTAACTTGCTGAGGGTATTTGAAAAAGTTACTTAACTTATAGGCTCCAAGTTTTTTCAGTAGCTCTTTTCCAGTACAAAAATTCTCTGATTATAGGGACCCACAGGAGTTTAATGTGAACATACAAATTGTATTTCTGCCTCTATGTTCCTTTCATTTTCTTATCCCATTGTCTACTTCCATTATGCAATAAACTGTGGTACTGTATAAGGTAAAGTAGAAATGTTACTCTGGCTACTTCATCTAGGAATGTTCCAGAATAAGAACTTGCTAGATGCTAGACAGTTGCTCCCATGGGAGTGTATGTCTCTGTGTGTGTATGTGTATATGTTCATTTTGCTAAGGGGTAGGGATGGGAATGTTCACCCACAGCAATGCAAAATATCAAAATAAAATTACTGTTTAGTCTGTGCAATACAAAACATTCTGAGCCTCTTCCATTCAGTATTTGTTTCTATTCAGAGACTGTCCTCAGTCATGGGAATGCAGCTTTTGCTTTTGGTCACTAATTGCAGACCAGAGCCAAACTCAGATCTCAGTCCATCCTGTTCCCTAAAGCTGGGAATCACCTGCTGCTTCCTTGCTTTTCAAAGCATAGTTAGGGCTGGGTACGGTGACTCATGCCTATAATCCCAGCACTTTGGAAGACCAAGGTGGGTGGATCACCTGAGTTCAGGAGTTCGAGACCACCGTGGCCAACATGGTGAGACCTCCATCTCTACTAAGTATACAAAAATTAGCTGGGCATGGTAGCAGGCACCTGTAATCCCAGCTACTCAGGAGGCTGGGGCAGGAGAATCACTTAAACCTGAGAGGTGGAGGTTGCAGTGAGCCAAGATCGTGCCATTGCACTCCAGCCTGGGTGACAAGAGTGAAGCTGCATCTCAAAAAGAAATGAAATAATAAGAATACAAAAATTAGCCAGGTGTGATGGCGTGCGCCTGTAATCCCAGCTATTTGGGAGGCTGAGGCAGGAGAATCGCTTGAACCCGGGAGGCAGAGGTTGCAGTGAGCTGAGATCATACCATTGCATTCCAGCCTGGGAGACAAGAGCAAGACTCCATTTCAAAAAAGAAAAAAAAAAGTTTTAAAAAAGTTTTCTGGCAGGGCGAGGTGGCTCATAGCTATAATCCCAGCACTTTGGGAAGCCGAGGCAGGTGGATCACCTGAAGTCAGGAGTTTGAAACCATCCTCACCAATGTGGTGCAACCCTATGTATGTGGTAGCTATGTGCCTGTAACTCGGGAAGGTGAGGCAGGAGAATCGCTTGAACCCAGGAGGTGTAGGTTGCAGTGAGCCGAAATTGTGCCACTGCACTCCAGCCTAGGTGACAGTGAGATTCTGTCTCAAAACATAATTTAAAAAGTTTTCTGGGCCGGGCGCGGTGGCTCAAGCCTGTAATCCCAGCACTTTGGGAGGCTGAGGCGGGTGGATCACGAGGTCAAGAGATCGAGACCATCCTGGTCAACATGGGGAAACCCCATCTCTACTAAAAATACAGAAAATGAGTTGGGCATGGTGACGTGTGCCTGTAATCCCAGCTACTCAGGAGGCTGAGGCAGGAGAATTGCCTGAACCCAGGAGGTGGAGGTTGCGGTGAGCCGAGATGGCGCCATTGCACTCCAGCCTGGGTAATAAGAGCAAAACTCCGTCTTAAAAAAAAAAAAAAAAAAAAAAAAAAAAAGATTAAGGACCTAGATTGCTGCCCTCTAGTTTGCTGGTATATACTGACATCACTGATGCCCAAAGAGCATTTTGCTTTATGGGGGTGTAACTAAGCATAAAGTGCCACTACATCAGAGGCCAGTGTGAATATCTGCTGTGCTAGAAACAGAACATGGCCAAGGAGTAAAGAATTAGAAGGGTAAGATGTAGCTTTCAGGTTTCTTGGATCTATAGGCAGCACTAGAAAGATCACACAAGCTGCTAAATTGAAAGACAAAGTTGACATAAGATGCTATCAGGTCACTGCTAGCTAGATATGGCTTCAACACCATGTTATGCTTGAAAGGAGCATAGAACCTCAAAGGCCCACACAACTTCTGTAGATAAAAGTATCTTGTTCTTTTCTGTTAGACTAAAAAACTTTTGGGACTAATTCCTTCTCAAAAATCATGTCCTTGTGTTCAAAGGAGGGGGACATAGGATTATTTCTGTTTTCTTGAAACCCAGTTTAGATTTAAATTCCAATCAGCCTAGTCTTACTTTGGAATCACAAGGCTGAAAAGGAGGATATTAACAGACCATTTAATAAGTGATCTGATCAGTTGCCATCCTTCCTGAGTAAGTTTATTGTGCTTTAAAGACCAGAGGAAAAACTGTTCCTTCAATCTACCTAAGAGCTGTTAATCTTAAAATCCAAGTTAATGTTATATTGCAGTTATTTTTTTGTTCGTCTTGCTCCTTGTAAGTTATATTGCAGTTAAATATTGAGGCCTAGAGCCTTCATCAAGGGCAAAAATCTTTTGAACAGGCTGATTTTCTACTTTTATCAGTAACATGGAAGCAGTAGCATGGAAGCAAGAAAAGAACTACTTTCATCATAGAGTCCTTAACTTGCTGAGCAGTGCCTTTTTCTGGGTGAACAGCAGCTTTGAAATTGGTTTCTTTAAAAAAGGAAAAACTGGTCAGATAATCCTCCCAAGTCGTCTACAAAAGTAAAAAAGAGGGCCATCAGTTGCATGCCAATAATAAATATAATTACACCAACATCACAGTGTGAGAGAGAATAATGGCTCGTGAGCATGGCCTTTGGCATCATATAGGTTTAGGTTTGAATCCCACTCACCACTTGTAGGGTTAAGCTGGGCAACTCAATCTCTCTGAGCCTCTCCTCTGAAATTGTAATACCTAACTCAAGAGTGTTGTCAGGATTAAACGAGATGATCCATATAAAATACATATTTGCCCAGATAAGTGCTCAATAGACAATGCCATTACAATCAGAGGCTCTACTATGAACTCTTTCAGCCAGCTGGTGATCTAAGGCAAGCCAGTGATCCTAATGCTTCCTTGCACTACAACCAAAAGCAAAAAATTACTTTTTTGAAAAAAATCAACCAGCCTGGGACGGTGGCTCACGCCTGTAATCCCAGCACTTTGGGAGGCTAAGGTGGACAGATCACGAGGTCAGGCGTTCAAGACCAGCCTGGCTAACATGGCAAAACCCCGTCTCTACTAAAAATACAAAAATTAGCTGGGCGTGGTGACGCGCACCTGTAATCCCAGCTACAAGGGAGGCTGAGGCAGGAGAAATGCTTGAACCCGGGAGATGGAGGTTGCAGTGAGCCGAGATCACACCACTGCACTCATCTGGGCGACAGAGCGAGACTCTATCTCAACAACAACAACAACAACAAAAAAGGCCGGGCGCGGTGGCTCACGCCTATAATCCCAGCACTTTGGGAGGCCAAGACGGGTGGATCACGAGGTCAAGAGATCGAGACCATCCTGGTCAACATGGTGAAACCCCGTCTCTACTAAAAATACAAAAAATTAGCTGGGCATGGTGGCGCGTGCCTGTAATCCCAGCTACTCAGGAGGCTGAGGCAGGAGAATTGCCTGAACCCAGGAGGCGGAGGTTGCGGTGAGCCGGGATCGCGCCATTGCACTCCAGCCTGGGTAACAAGAGCGGAAACTCCGTCTCAAAAAAAAAAAAAAAAAAAAACAACCACTTTAGCCAAGCACAGTGATGACTTGGACCCCTGCTTTCTGACTGGACCTGCCCGCTCCTGGCTCCAGCTTGTCCAGAGTTTTCATAAACAGACCAGGTAACCCCTAATGCAGATTCCCTGATAATCTACAGGCCTAGACGTGGATTGGAAAAAGCGAGTAGGGTGCCACTTTTTGGAGAAGGGTTAGATGAGGAGAAACAATAAGTAATCACTCCAATCTCCGAGTTTTGCCCTTTAGCTTCTCTGCTTTGAGGGCAAAAGGCTGAAGGTTGTTTTTTATATACACTTTTTAAATTTTAATTTTAATTTTTTTTTTTTTACAAATACGGGGTTTCACCATGTTGGTCTTGGTCAGGCTGGTCTCGAACTCCTGACTTAGGTGATCCGCCCGCCTCGGCCTCCCAAAGTGCTGGGATTACAGGCGTGAGCCACTGTGCCCGGCTAAAGCTGAAGGTCTTCACCTGAACGCTAGAGGAGAATGTAGTACCCAGATTTTTTTTTTTTTTTTTGAGACGGAGTCTCACTGTGTTGCACAAGCTAGAGTGTAATGGCGCGATCTTGGCTCACTGCAACCTCCGCCACCTGGGTTCAAGCGATTCTCCTGCTTCAGGCTCCAGAGTAGCTGAGATTACAGGAACCCGCCACCACGCCCTACTAATTTTTGTACTTTTAGTAGAGATGGGGATTCGCCATGTTGTCCAGGCTGGTCTCAAACCCCTGATCT